CCCCAAAACCCCAAAACCCCAAAACCCCAAAACCCCAAAACCCCAAAACCCCATTTTGCAGGGGCTTAGATGAAATCTGATAAAAACTATGTCTAATGTTTGTGGTAAAGTAAGGAATAGTTTAGAGACCCATCATTGCCTCAAGAGATTCTCCCTGACCCCATTCAGTGTCTTCTTTGGATTCAGCATCCTTAGCAGCTTCTCCCTTTCTGGCATCCTTTACAGTCTTTTTTCCTGGTTTAGAAGCTTCTTTCTTCTGAGAAGCCTTCTTTTTAGAAGCTTTCTTTGCTGGAGCAGGTTGCTTTTTAGCCTCCTCTTTGTCAGCTGGAGCTGGTTTCTTGGTCTTGGGTTGAGCTTTCTTATCTTCCTTTGGCTTAGTCTTCTTTTCTTCCTTTGACTTGGTCTTCTTCTTCTCTTCCTTTGGCTTCTCTGGTTCATTTGCTTCAGGAGCAACGCCAATCATAGCTTCTAAATTATCCCAATCGGCAGCTATTAGATTAAAACAAGCTAACTTACGTCCTTCTTCCTCAGCTGGAGCAGCAGATACTGCAGGCTTCTTTGCTTTAGGCTTCTTGGCTTTCTTGGTAACCTTCTTTTCTTCAGCTTTCTTTGTAGAAGTCTCTTCTTCTGGTTTCTTTTCTACAGTCTTTTCCTTCTTTGGGGCTTCTTCAGCTGGCTTTTCAGGCTCTGGAGCTTTGACTTCTTCCTCCATCTTTCCCAAAAAGTCTGGGAATGGCTTGATCTCATCATCGCTCTCCTTCTTCTTAATTGGCTTGCTCACCTTCTTCTTGATTACCTTCTTAACTGGCTTCTTAGCTTCTTCAGCTTCGCTCTGAATGTTCTTCTTAGAGTCTAGATGTCAATTCAAAATATCCTACCGAACTTCTTTCTTCCCTTCTTCACAAACTTCTTCTTTTGTTCTTTTGGAACGAACTGGAAGTTCTCTTCGTCTCTCATATTTCTGAAGTCTTGCCTAAGAGAAGTTAGGCCAGCCATAAAGGTAACTTACTTGTTCTTTTTGATCTTCTGGTACTTCCTCTCCTGATATTCTCTCTTATTTCTCTCCTGTTCTTCTAGTTCTTTCAGAATAGATTCAAAATCAATCTTTATGTCCTCTGGTTCAGGCTCGCAAGGTCTTAGACTGTGGCATGGGAAGTCAGTTTTGAAGCGGTTCTCTTCGAGTGGGGTAAATCTTTCTAGTAGCTCTTGGCGTGTAAAGGTAGCCATATCTGAAATTAATTATAATTAATTTACCCTCATTTCAACCATTCAGTCGTGTCAAGGGGTTTTGGGGTTTTGGGGTTTTGGGGG